GCAGAGGTAGGCAGATCTCTGTGAGTTCAAGGCCAGCCTGGTCTACATAAGAAAGAGTTCTAGGACAGCCAGAGCTGTTACACAGAGAAACTCTGTCTCAGGGAAAAAAAAATAATAAATAAATAATAAATAAATAAAGGACTCAGCTAATCTTGAACATAAATAAACCCATGAAGCATGGGCTTACTTTTCTTCAACAGTGTCATAAACACAAATGTTATTTCCCCCAAAGATGAGGCCAGGCGGGGGGTGAAGAGGATGTTTCGAGGCCCTTTGGCAGAAACTCCTGATAACGTCAGCCATGCCCCTCAGCACTATGACTTTCATAATATCCTTTCATGCGGCTGCCATTCTTCCAGACAGCAGTGAACTTGGCTTCGGAGAGAGTTCTTTCCCCCATGAAGCGACAGGCTAAACGGCAAGGCATGAAAAGGGATTACTGGATGTGTGTCTTCAAACAACAGTGAGGTCCCCAGAAGCATGTCAGGCTGAGAAGGCGTCCTTCGAGCGGCCGTCGGTGAAAAGGCTGGAGATAGGAGCATCACTGGGAGCTCCTGGTGACAGATGTCAGGTGTTGGCAGACCAACTGCCAACACCAATCTTCCTCCACCCCCAGATATCAAGCTGATGGAGAGCCGGGCGCAGTGGGTCTGGCAGGCCCCTCATGCTTGGATCATTGGTCACATTATTATTTCTCAATGGCTGGATAAAACAGATGGTTTACCGTGCAGTCCTGATTCTCCGTTGGTTTCAGGATCTTATTCTTCCCTCAGGGTCCGGCATGCAATCAGTTATGACAGTGATGGAGCAAGAAGGTTCCTGCCAGTAAGTCCCAGCATCCCTCTTTATTATCCTGGAATAAACCACTGCAATCTCCAACTTCAAAACCCCAAAAAGATCTAGCAGTGCAACACAGTCGAAGATGCTTGTCCTATCACAGAACTGCAGTTCTCTGGCCCCCCAAAACCCCCACTCCCTACTTGAATGTCAATTGCCTGTTCATTTTGCTTTTTGATTTGGAGAGTGTCTTCCTAGCTACCCCAGGCCTGGAACTCTGAACCTATGCGTGTGTCCCGGGTTGGTCTCCAATCTGAGACTCCCCACCTCACACTCTGGAGCACTAGAATTATCTGTGGGTGTCACTGTGCCCAGCCTTGTCCTTTTCAGTCATAGACTTACAATCCTGCTTGTACTCAGATGAGTCCTTTAATGTAACAGATTGTTTTATAATTGGTATATAAAAACTGCACAGGGCCGGGCGGTGGTGGCGCACGCCTTTAATCCCAGCACTCGGGAGGCAGAGCCAGGCGGATCTCTGTGAGTTCGAGGCCAGCCTGGTCTACAGAGCGAGATCCAGGGAAGGCGCAAAGCTACACAGAGAAACCCTATCTCGAAAAACCAAAAAAAAAAAAAAAACTGCACAGAATGCCAGGTGTGGTGGCACATGCCTTTAATCTCAGCACTCAGGAGGCAGAGGCAGGTGGATCTCTGTGAGTTCAAGGCCAGCCTGGTCTACAGAGTGAGTTCCAGGACACTAGTGCTGTTACATAGAGATACCTTGTCTCAAAAAAATAAAAACAAAAACACTCCCCCAAAACAACAACAAAAACAAACCTGCACATATTTATGGGGTAATAGTTTTGTCTTCATTTACTGTGTAAGGACATGTCACGATAATTAGCCTGAAATTTGTATTTCTATCCATCAGTTACTTTAGATTCTACATGTTTCAGTGAATCTTCAGTAAGTCTTTGTTTAGATTAATAAAATGACTTCATTTAAAAGCTGTGAAGTGCTTGCCATGCAAACATGAGTACCTGAGTTTGGTCCCTAGCACCTATGTGAAAAGCCACTGAAGCGTGTGAATCCCAGGGCTAGGGAGTGCGTGCGGGTGGAGACAAGAGGATCCTGGGGCCTGTAGCCAGCCGGTCTAGATGAACCAGGGAGCTTCAAGTTCACTGAGAAATACTGGTTGTAGTATTAAGGCCACTCCACGTAGTTAAAAGGGAGGTTTATTTTGTGGAGTAACTCACAAGTAAAGGGATAGGTTACAGGGTCTGGGAAAGGTGTGGTGCAGTCCGGCGGTGTTCTCTGAAGAACTCTGCTCGGTCTGCCTCCAGATTCCAGGATCCAGGAACCAAGAGAGTTGGCACGTCCGGATCTTGGGTCTTAAGGGCTCCTGTCTCGGCCCCACCTTGTAGGCGTGACAGTTACCAAAGCCTCAATGGGGGTAGTACTTCCAGGTCAAAGTTGGAACAGCTACCCACTACAGAGAAACAAATAAACAAAGTGGAGAAGCAGGTGTGGTGACTTATGCTTTATTCCAGCAATCCAGAGACTGAGGCAGGTGGATTTCTAAGTTTGAGGCCAACCTGGTCTACAGAGCGAGTTTCAGGACAGGCTTCAAAGCTACAGAGAAACCCTGTCTCAAAACAACAACAACAACAACAAAATCTAAAAATAAGTAAATAAATAAAATGGAGGGTCATAAAAGTAAGAGAAGAAACTTTTTGGGAAGAAAAAAGGTTTCAAGCAGCTAGCTCTCCGGACCCCAAATAACGAGATATTACAAACACTAGTGCCTCGAGCTTTCCCTCACAGGTTCAGCCGGATTTAGTTTCCTGGAGCCCAACCTGGCATTGGAAAGGCCTCAGGGGGATCCACTGGGAATGAAGTTTGAGGGTCTGAACTAGTCCTGTGATGACTAGCTCTACAAGCCTAGACAAACCACCTTAGCTCCTTGTGAGGCCACATTTCTGTCTCTGTACTGAAGATCAGGAAGCCTACCTGTCCTGTCTTCCTCCCAGTTGCTACAAGGTCAAAGGCAATGATACATGGGGTGCAGTTTTGAATCAGTTTCATACATTTCTTATCTAAAATATAACTGGGGAATCACCCCAACACCTGGACTGTCAAATGCAAGGATTTAGCTAAGAATGCAAGAAGACAACACAATCCAGCATTAACATTGACCTGTGACATGTTTGAGTCTATAGTTAACCAGCCTGCCTGGCAAAAATAAGTAGATTATTATTACTATCATTAGTCTCAGTTAGGGTTCCTATTGCTGTGATGAAACACCACGACCAAAAGCAAATTGGGGAGGAAAGGGTTTATTCGGCTTTCACTTCCACATCTTAGTCCATCATTGAAGGAAGTCAGAGCAGGAACTCAAACAGGGAAGGAACCTGAAGGCAGGAGCTGAGGCAGACGCCGTGGAGGAGTGCTGCTTACAGGCTTGCTCATCTTGGCTCGCTCAGCCCAAGGATAGCACAACCCTTCTAATAGGCTGGGCCCTCCTCCATCAACCACTAATTAAGAAAATGTCATAAAGCCAAATTTTATGGAGGCATTTTCTTACCTGATGTCTCTTCCTTTCAGATAACAATAACTTGTGTCAAATTGACATAAAACTACCCATTACATTATTATTATCCATTATTATTTATTATTATTTCTTTGAGGCAGGGGATAATTGTGTAGCCCCAGTGTAGACGGGGCTGTCCTCAAACTCAAAAGATTCTCCTGCCTCTGCTTCCTGAGTGCTGGGGTTAATGTTGTGTGCCTCCACACTTGGCAAGAATGAATATATTCTAAAGAGACTCTCTGCCCTTCTCTTTGGTTATGAGATGGTTGAAACAATAGATCCCAAGAAAATAGGAATCTTCTCAGGAACCTCCTGCTGGAGGAAAAGAAGGCAGTCTGGGGAGGAATTTTCTCTGGGAGGAAAATTACTTTTTAGAGACACTCAGAGCTGAGACAATTCTCTGGGGGTGACTGGTCTTGGCTGTATGGCTTGGTTGTGCTTATCTCTTCACTTTCATTTATAGGGAAATTTTAGGATCCCACAGATGGACTGAGGTGAGGAAGGTGACTACACTGAATATCTCATTTCTCTGCCTTTGTATTTATTTGGCTCTTTCAATTGGCGTATAGAGTCTGGCTGTTTGGGGCACAGACTCTAACCCTCAACTCCGGTCACACCGTTATCCCCCATCTTCCTATCACTTGGCTGAAGACTATAGGCTTCAGTCTCAGGGTTTTGAAAACTTTCGTTTTTTTAGATTTATTTTTATTTTATGTGTATAGGTATTTTGCCTGCATGTATCTGTGCAAAACATGAGCAGGAGGCCAGGAGAGGGCGCCAGACACCCTGGAACTGGAGTTGCAGCTGCTCGGTAGCCTCCATGTGGGTACTGAGAATCGAACCTGGATGCTCTAGGTGAGCAATCAGTGCTCTTAACCGGCTGAGTGATGTCTCCAGCCGCTCTTGGAGGTTTTTATACAGAATCTAGGTAGCTGCATTTGTTTGCAAGGAAAGGACTTTATTCTAGTCACAGCAATAGAGACCACATTCATCACAATAGGGACTATCTTAAGGAGTGGTTGAATTCAACTCATTACAACGGATATCAGTGGTGACTTCTGGAGGACTGGATGGAAGAGTGACTTGATTATGAATGGAAGCAGCATTAGCGATTAACTGGCTTGGTAAGATCAGACTCAGCAAAGCAGAAGGCAAGAAAGGGGCCAGAGTAAAGTTTTGGGTTAAGAAGATGAGAGCGAAAGTGGGTTGCCGGGTTGGTCTAGATCTACACACCCAACCTGATTTTACTTGCCAGGTAAAGGATTACAGCTAACCCTCACAGGATGCAACCTCTGGCTCTGAACACAAAGTGAGAGAGTCATCGCTTTGGCACGCTATAATCCCTATACACTTTGCACGCCTTCCTCAAATCAGTTGTAGCAAAAAAAAAAAAAAAAAAAAAAAATCAAAGCGTCCTTATCTGCCCCCGGCGTAGACGGCGGTCTGGAGCTGGCAGGACTCCCAGGGCATTATCCTAGGGCGGGGCCCCGCGCACCTGCCAGGCGCCAATCATAGGCAGGCTTACAGGGGCGCAAGCGCCACTGGCCTGGGCGGGGTCTCTTCGGGTTCCAATCTCCGCTCCTATTGGTAGACTTGTAATGACGTTGTGACTGCTTCGACCAATGGCTACGGAGCCGGTCCGCAGGGCAGACGGAAGTAGTGCCGGCAAGGTGGCCCCGCAGTGCCGGCGCAGAGTGGTGCAGCCGAGCGGGGTCGTGGCTCCTGCGCCTTGGGTTCCCAGCCAAGATGCCGCGCTTCGCCTTGACCATCATCCGCCAGTGAGTATCGCAGTCCCCAGGAGCTTCTTGGCCCGGGTCTCTTCTGGTCCCTGCGTGCTCCAAGCCCAGGAGGGTGGGCTTCCCATGTACTTACCTTTGCGCCCGCTCAGGTCCACTTCCCTTCCTTTTCTCCGCACCACCCTGAGTGAGGAAGGCAGGTCTTAAATGTCAGCAGCCCTGCGTTTTCCCGGGAAAACTCGTGTGGAGAAGCACACGATCAAGGTTCCCAGCCACTGAGTGAGGACAAGACCCCGTCTACCGACTTCTCAGCGTGACCTTTCTGCTCCCTAATAGGTCGCAGAGTTTGCAGAATTGCTGGGTCACGCCTCATCTTTCCGATGCTGGTGGCCTTCTTCCCCACCCCACCCCTGTTTCTCTTCGCATCGGGGATACTTTTGAAATTTACTTCCCTTCGAAGGTTACAGTTCTGAGAGAGACGAGAGGGCCCCAGCCCTCCTCTCTGTCGACGGCATCACCCTGAACAAACGATTTTTGTTTTTTGGTTTTTTTATTTTGACAGATTACATGGAACAGAATCTGGCTTTAGGTCACTTACTGTTTTCCTTCTCCGCACGTGTTTGCCCCGTGAAGATGGGAGGTGCATTCGGGGTGGATAACGGGAGGGAATTTTCAGGGCAGAGAGACGTTGGTTAGGATTGGGGCTGGGGCTCCAGCTAGGAGCAGCCTCGTAGCCAGGCATCTGAGGACAGATTTAATCTTTCTGACCTGTGTCAGGATAAGCAGATTGGTGACTGCAATCTCTCTAATCTCGCTGGGTTACCGCGAGAATTAAATGGAGAAGATGGAGCGCATGGCAGCAGAGAGGAAGAAATATACCCGAGAATTAATAACTTGTTCTTCTGTAAGCAAAGCCCAGCTAGAATGCAGTTGATTCTCACCCGTGTAGACCAGGCTTATCAGAACCATCTTCTGGGTGAGCTCTGTGTTTGTCAAGGGACTGGGTTACCCTTTGCCTTCATAGGACTCATAGGAGCGCGCTCACAGCATCTAACCTCGTCAGACGCCTTCCTCTTCTTCAATGACGCCTTCTCTGCCCAGTTCCTCCTTTATAGGGAAATAATCTCAGGCATCATGTGGAGCTGGCCTTTAGGGTTCAGGGATTTTAATGACCAAATTAGAAATCTTCTTCCTCCATCTCTTCTGCATCACCATCTGTTTTCTAGAATGTTCTGGGAGGGTTCTTAACTTTCTTAGGGTAAAACAGCTTTATTGGGAGCACTGTCGGAACTTCAGCCCCCATTGCCCTCTTTTCAACCTGAGGAAGCCCCTTTGAAGTCATAGGAAGTCTGTGCTGGAGAAACCCCTCAGAAAGTACGGTGACCCCTATTTAAAACTCTTACTGGGCAGTATCTGTGTGAATAGGGAGCTTCTTATTTTGACATCTGTGATTCACAGGTGAGTAAGGGGAGTCAGACTCCAAGTAATTTGCTTAAGGTCACGTGGCAAGTTGGCTCGGTGAGATTTGAACCAGAGTAGATTAAACTGCTGTTCTCTGCCTCTCACTTACATTAAAGCCTGGTGTTTGATCGTCATTTGAATATCACCAGCTTCAGGGCTATTTTTTATCCTCCTGATATAATTTTAAGGGGTGGTAAGAGTAGTTTTATTTGAGAGCCGTGGTGGTACATGCCTGTAATCCCAGCAGTCAGGAGGCGGAGGCGTTCAAGGCCAACCTTATCTACATAGCAGTGCCAGGCCAGCCAGAGGTACATAGTGAGGTCCTGTCTCAAAAAAAGGAAAAAAAAAATTTTATTCTCCTTTAGACACAGGAAGATGGACATGTCAGAATAAAGACAGGGCTGTGGTTAGCTGCTTTCCTGTCATGGCCATCCCAGCTGTCCTCTCTCTGGTATAGTTGTGACAGCTAGAAGCCTCGTGGTTCAGGAACAGATATGCTTTCAAATTTGACTGCTAGTCGCCAGAGAGTTGCCTAACTGTATTGAACTGTACTATAATGCAAGAGAAATTTAAAGCAGTTTCCTTGTGACTATCCAAACCTTTCATGAAATTTTATGTTTATGTTAATTCGTTATGTTTTTAATTTTTTATTAATTAATTTATCTTATGTGTATAGGTGTTTTGTCTATGGGTAAGTCTGTGTAGCATGTGTGCACTTGGAGCCCACAGAGGCCAGAAGACAGCATCAGATCCCCTGGAATTGGAATTATGGACAATTGTTAGTTAGCCCTGCCGTGTGGATACCCGGAATTGAACCTGGGTCCTCTGGAAGAGCAGACAGTGCTCTTAGGCCCCGAGTCATCTCACCAGCTTCCAATTTTCTTCATATTTAGAAATGGAGGTGTGTTGTTTTTGGACTAGAACACCCTGGGTTCCAAACTTCACATCTCTCATTTGTATTGAACTGTAATTTCTCAGGACAGTTAGAGCATTGTAACCCCAGCACGAGGAGGCTGGTGTCAGTCTTCCTACACCATGGCCTCAGAGACTACCTTGATTCCCTTCAGCATTGTTTGTGTTGACAGTCACATGCAAAACCATTTCACTTCCGTTTTGAGCCAGCTCTTACAACTTTCAATATTTTTTTACAAACTGAACTTAATTTACTTCTTGTATTTTTTCCTCTCAAGCTAGCCTTTCAAATCTGTATTTGCAAATGAATTAATTGGTAAAAGGGAGTTAGGATCGAGTTACATTCATGACTGAGCATCAGGTGACATCAGGTGAGGCTGTAATTTACCTTCTCATACACGTGGGAGTAAACGTGTTGTGAAAACTCTGTATATGTGCTAATTTCCCACAATGATCGGCTTCTCTGTTGTGGCCAGCTGGCAGGTGTCTGTTGAATCTGAATCCTTTATAAGGGTCTAACAAGGGATTGAGCATGAAAACTTGTGCTAAGGAACTCACTTTTAAATAAGAGCAAGTGGTACAGCCTAAGTGGGGCCTGCCCTGTGTCTTGTGTGGGGCCCATCATGTCCCATGCAACCCCTACCCCCCCACCCCCACCCCCACCCCCCACGCGCACGCCCACAGAGCCTATAAATGGCTGGTCATGAGACTACAGTTCTTGGCATTAGTGTCTAGACTCCCGTGGAGCCGGGTGTTCTGTTTTAGAAATGGCTCACCCTGCAGAAGCTGAAAATGAGTGCTGTACTCCTGACTCCTTCCAAATACATCCCTCTGACCTTTCCGCAGCCTCTTCCTTCTCTCTGTCACAAGCCAAAGTCTGGGTCAGGGAAGTGGATCCCTAGCAAAGTGCTTGCTTAGCCTTGCCCACCCCATAAACTAACTTTAAACACCTGTCTCAAGGATTTATAGAAACCCTTTAAAGCTGCTAAAAGCTATAATACTAAATATTTACACAGGTTTTGGGGAGGCAATTCTATTTTGGGATACCTGGTCTTGGAATATTTATAAAGTGGCTTGAGTACAAAACTGCTGTCTAGCAACTAAAAGGGACCTGTGTGTGTGTGTGTGTGTGTGTGTGTGTGTGTGTGTGTGTGTGTGTGTCGGGGCATATGCACATTTGGAGGGTGGGACACTAAAAGAAGACTTCAGTAATTGAACCTGGAGCTAAGCTGGCAGCCAGCAAACTCCGGGGAATCCTCCTGTCTCTCCCCCACCCTCCAGCACTTGGGTTACAGGCACATACTCTGCCGTTTATGTGAGTGCCAGGACCTAAACTCAGTTCTTTCTGCTTACAAAGCACACACGCTTTCCTACTGAGCATCTCTCTCCAGCCCCAGCAGAGATCTTGATCAACCCACAGCTAAAGGAAGTGGTTCACTATATCACAACTATATGTTTTTTCTTTTTACTGAAAAAAAAAAATCACTAGATGGGGGCAGTACCTTTGCAAAACTATCGAGTCACTGGGAGTGTTTTCAGTGAGTGTTCAAAAGAATGGCCACTGCCACTGACTATAGAAAGATCTCAGACTTTCGGTGCCACTCCCGATTTTGGAGTGGCAAAACTAGCAGATTTCTCTCTCTCTCTCTCTCTCTCTCTCTCTCTCTCTCTCTCTCTCTCTCTCTCTCTCTCTCTCTCTCTCTGCATTTGTGTGTGTGTGTGTGTGTGTGTGCACTCTCCATCTTTTTAAAAAAACAAAGATTTTCTTATTTTTATTTCATGTGTTCTGCCTGTCTGAATGTCTGTGCCCCATGTGCATGCAGTTCCCACAGAGGCCAGAAGAGGGCAGCAGACCCCCCCCAGAACTGGAGTTACAGCTGGTTATGAGTCATTGTAGGTCTTCTGGAAAAGCAGCCAGTGCTCTTAACCACTGAGCTACTTCTCTGGCCCCTCCACCTAATTTTTTAAGACAGGGTCTTTCATTGATCCTGGAGTTTTTCTGATTGTGTTAGATTGGCTGGTCAGGGAGCCCCAGGAATCCTGCTGTCTCCAGCTCCCCAGTGCTGGGATTATGGGCCCACCCAGTTTTTTACAGGTATGGAGCCTAGGTACTCATGCTTGTATGGGGAGCAGTTTACTTATCATCTGAGTCATTTCCCTTGCCCCATCCTTGATTTTAAATGTATACAGTGAGGGTGCTTCTTTGGCTCTTGCTGGGAGTAATTGGGAAGATGGTACTTCGATTTAAAAGCAGTTCTGTTTTATTTCTTTAGTTTTTTGAGACAGATCTTTTGTAGCCCAGGCTGGCCTCAGAGGAAATGAGTAACTTTGAATGACCTCGAACTCCTGACCCTCCAATTACAGGCTTGTGTCACCAAGCCCAGCTTTTGGTTCTTTGAGAGTTTTGCTTTGTATCCTGAGATAGCCTGGAAATCAATATTTAGCCCAGGCTGGCCTTGAACTCAAGCAGTCTTCTTTCCATACCCTCTCAAGTGCTGGAATTAAAGGCATGAGTCACTAGGAGGCAGTTTCCCTTGACCTCAGAAGGATTATTAGTCTGAGAGAGGAAGTGAGCTAGGCCACAGTTCCTTTTTCTAGATTAGGAACGACAGTGTGCCCAGCCCTGCCTTTGTGCTCCTGAACTGTCAGCATGTTAGAGGGTAATGTCCTTTTCTGTGGCCATTTCTTAAGATGCTGCATGAACTTGGACTCTAGGAAGTCCTCTATTAATAGTAGTCCCTCAATAGTGGCAAACCAAGACCTAAATAGTTCTATACACAGTCATTTCATTTAGGTAATCGTGCATTTCTTTTTATGTCTACATGTTTAGAAACCAAACCAGTTCTCTGTTCTTATTCCTCTACCCACATGAGACCACACTGATTTACCTATTTGTATTGTAGTTACTTATTAATTTTGCAGTTCTGGGTATTGAACCCCAGGCCTTGCATGATAAGCAAGTATTCTACCACTGAGGTACATCCCTTACATTTTTCTTTTTGCTTAAAAAGCAAAACAAAACTTAATTTTGAGACAGATACTCACTGTGTAGCCCTGGCTGGAACTCACTATGTAGTCCAGGCTGGCCTTGAACTCACAAAGTTCCTCTTGCCTCTGCCTCCTGAGTGCTGGAATTAAAGGCGTGCGCCACCGTGCCTGGATCTATTACTTTTTTAATGTATTCTTTCAGTGTTTCTTTATGTGAATCCAGGTATTTCCTGTTTCATTTCTGAGAAGTTGGCACTTTACTGTTATTTCAGCCTTGCCCTGTAGTCCTTTACTGTGGAGGTTCTCTTCCCACACAAGTTTTGTGGTTTTTGTTTTTTTAATGTATGTGAGTATTTTGCCTGTATATATGTACGTATCACATGTGTGCCTGATAACTGTTGAGGTCAGAAGAGAGGGAATTGGATCCTCTGGGACTGAGTATTTGAGAGCCACCATGTGGGTGCTGGGGATGGAACCCTGGTCCTCTGCAAGAGCATCAACTCCTTTTATCCCCTGAGTCATCTCTCTAGTTCCTCTTCAAGTCTTTCAGACAGAATCTCTGTTCTGTGTTTGTTTGTAAGGAAGGAACTTTGCTCAAGGTCACTGCGTGATGTGGAGGCCAGAGATGGACATTAGGTGTCTTCGATTATTGCTCTCCACCTTAAGTTTTGAGGCAGGGTCTCTTCCGACTTGGCCAGCCAGCCCCCCGGATCCCTCTGTCTCCACTCTCCAGTACGCATGTCGCCATGCCCAACTTTTTCCGTAGTGCAAGGCCCCCACCTCAGTCCTTATGCTTGTGTGGTAATTAATCACTTTGCCAGCCGAGCCATCCCCCAGCCTCATTTGGTGACTTGTTGTAAGTTTACCTTGCCATCTAGGCTTGCCCTGTGGCTCCCTCTCACCTCCCTCTTCCAGCCTCAGTTTACCCAGTTATTTCCTGGAAATGGTTCCATTCCTGTTGGTCTTCTGATTGCTTTCAGATTGGGATTGTTTTGAGTTTTTAATTCCTAAAAGTGTAGCCATGCCTCAGTCGGGTGCACCGTCCATAGGCAAGGTGGCTCTAGCCCCCTCACAATGTGACTGCCTCAGCTCGAGAGCCTGAGTCAATTCTGTGTATGTGACAAGGGCCCTAGCATTTCTTTCTCTTGCCATTGTCACACCCAGTCATGTGCTCCTCCAGGGCAGGAACCCACAGACTGCCATCCTGGTGGCAGTCAGTCCTGCTGCCCTGAAGTAGTCTTGATCAACCAATATACTTACTTTTAACAAGGATACCTTCTAAAACTAATGTGTACACACCTGCCCTTTGAATAGCTTTTTCTTCCAGCAGTTCATTTAACATTGGTCTCCTGAGCCATGTACATTTGCTTTAAGGGATGTCTTGACTTGGAATTCCTCAGTTGGGATAGATGATTGGAAAGAAAATATTTAGATTTGAAAGTTTAAGGTTTGTTATGAACATCATTACAAAATTTTTTGTTTTCTTTCCTCTTTTCAAAAATAATTTGGTAATGGTATTTTCTTTCTTTTTTATTTTAGTGGCGAAACAAGATTTAATAAGGAGAAAATCATTCAAGGTTAGTCTAATCAGATTGTTGCCCACATAGCTCCCCTTCAGTGTTAATGTGATGTGTGAACTAATCAGATTTGTTAGGGGAGGACCGGGAAGGGGTTAAACTGGACTGGGGTTAGGGATGAGGGTACCATGGTAACCACAGACTTGGACCAAAACAGTAGGTCACCAGGAGGAACAGAAGTCTCTGAAGTGGACATGGTATGCAGGGGCTTCTCCAGTAGTCTATGCAGACCTCCAAGGGGCCCAGTCACTGATTGAAAAGTCATGTTGAAATACCACAGTTGAGATTTAACTTGCTTAAAGCCAGGTGACGAGTGCCAGTAATCCCTGCAGGTAGGTGCCTGAAGCAGGAGGATCTCTGTGAATTTGAGGAGTTCAAGACTGGTTTAGGTAGTAAAAAATTATTTCATATTAGGAAATGACATTTATAAGCTAGTATTAACAGTTTCTAAACAGTTCACTGATTTCTGTACTAACAATGAAGTTCACTATGTTCTGCTGTGGTCCCTGTCTTCTTATTGCGTGCTGGGCTCTTGTATTCTGTGCTAAGATCCAATAGTCTGGCCTTTTAAGGAGCATCTTGGCGAACTTCTAGGCAGATACTCTTTCTATGCTGTGGTTGATTCTAAAAGCTTTTGGGTTTAGTTTTGGGGTAGGAACTTCTGGGCCGTGCAGAAGTTGGTTTTCCTCCTCAGTGTGTCTGGCTCCCTTCTGGAGATGAACTAGTTGTGTGTCTTTGCTTCTAAGTGCAGTGTGTGCCCACCTGAGTTGTCCTGGGGCCTGGGTCCCTCACCACCCTGACCCTCGCCACCCTGGCTGCTCATTTGCTCAAAGCTGAGCCCTCGGGAACATGAATAACCATGATTGCATTCACATTCACTTTTAGGCTGTCTGTCTCCCGACTTTGTGAGTTGGATGCTCAGTTTTCTCCCCCTCCTCCCCCTTTTAAAAATAAACAAAGCCCCACACAGTCCTTATGGGGCTGTTGAGATAGCTTAGTGGTTGAGAATGGGTATTGCTTTTTTCAGAGAACTCCAATTTGGTTCCCAGCACCCATTCTGGGTGCCTTACAACCACCTTTAACTCCAGCTCCAGGGGATCTGACACCCTCTTCTGGCCTCTACGGGCACTGCAGTCACATGCGCATACCCCACACAGACCCACATCATTTACAAAAATAGTAAAAAGAAGTCTTTAAACACAGTCTTTCTCCGCAGCAGTCTGTGAACCCTTACCCTGCCTCCTGGTGTATTTAGACTTTTTATTTTTTTCCTTCTGCTCCTGCTTCCCCCTCTTTTTCTAGTCTGTCTTCTTCTTTGCTTTACTTTTCCTTCTTCCTGACTGCATCTGTTCGTCCCTAGCCTCCTCCTACCCTCGGGCTGAAAATCTTCTCATACAGACCTTTGGATTTTTTGTGCTTCGGACCTCTGTGTTCAGCCTAGGCTGCTGTAGCAGGTTACCGTAGACTGGGTGGCTCAAAACACATTCTCTCTCTCTCTCTCTTTTTTCTCTTCACACACTCTGAAGGTCACAAGTCCAGTCTAAGACCAGGGTGCCTGTGCCAGTTTTTTGTTGCCAATGTGACATAAACTAGAGTCATCTGGGAAGAGACACCCTCAGTCGAGATTGCCACCCTCAGGTTGACCTGTGGGCATGTCTGTGGGGGCATTTTCTTGATTAATGATTGATGTGGAGGGCCCAGCCCACTATGGGTGGTGCCTTCATGGAGCAGGTGGGCCTGAGTGGTATAAGGAAGCAGCAAGCCGGGAAGCAGCATTCTTTTTGTGGCCTCTGATTCAGTTCCCTCTTCCAGGTTTCTGCTTTCAGGTCCTGCCCTGACTTTCCTCAGTGATAGTCTGTAACCTGGGGGCTATAAGATGAAATAAACTCTGACCCCCCACCCCAAGTTGCTTTTGGTCAGTGTTTTTGTCTCAGCAATAGAAACCTAACTAAGACAGTACCTCGGTTAATCTGGAACAGCCCGCCTCCCACTTCGCAGACTGTGGTCCTCTGGTGTTTTGTCCAGTGGAGAGAGAGTAGAACCTTGTCTCATCTCACAATCACTGGGACCATATCACGGGTCCCACCCTAACACCCTCCATCATCACTTTGGGGGTTAGGGTTTCAACAGACCACCATTAGAGGGACAAAAACATCCCTTCTAGCATCTAGTGTCATAGTAACATCTCCTCCATCTTGGAAAAATACATTGCGTTTAGGGTGATCTGGTAACTTAGTCCTCCTTAATTTTTTTTTTTTTTACATTATTGTATTTATTTGTTCATTTCCATTTACATGTGTCTTTCGTTTCCTTGGTGCTCATTCCTTTTTCACGTCAGACCTTCCTTCATTCTGTGAGGCACATTCTCTGAGAGGCCCTGTAGTGTGCGTAGGTGGCCGATGGACGGAAAAGACGGTCTCAGTCAGCGCACACTTGGACTGACAGTTCCCTCGGCGCCCAGAGGATACCCTCTCTCTGCTTTGTCCTGTTGAGCTGAGCTCGTAGCTCAGGAGCAAGGCTCTTAGGCTGGCAGGTGCCGGAGCCTGGTCTCATTCTCAGCACTGGAGGATCGGCACAGTTGGTAAAGGGGGGTTTTCATCGGTTGTGGATGTTAACATGGATTATCATCTTGACAGGATCTAAAATTGTGGAACTGACCGTCAGGGAACCCCTGATTGCCTGGAAGGGATTATCTGGCTGGGAAGACCCATCCTGAAAGTGGGCAGCTCCATTCCATGTCCCCTGATGACGGGAGCAACTCCTAATTGGTCACAGTGTAACCAGCTGCGTCCTCGGTCCTCCCGCATGGCTCCCCTACCATTGTGGACTATCCTCTTGAACTCTGAGCCAGAATGACCCCCCTTTATTGTTTTATTTTATGAGTGGGAGTGGCTTGCCTACACATAAGTCTATTAAGCACATGTTTTTAGTGCCCTTGGAGACCAGGAGAGGGCATTGGATTCTCTGGAGCTATAGTTATAGATGGTTGCCTGGAAGAGCAACGGATGCTCTGACCTGCTTAGCCATCTCTCCAGCCCCTCCCTCCCTTCCTTAAATTGCTTCGTCAGAGCATTGAGTAAGTGGCCAACAGCTCCCATCTCGTTCTAGGCTGGCTGTTTAGATCTTCTTATTGATTCTGCTGTCCTTCATTTTCTCTCAGTGTATCTAGAAGGATTTTTTAAAGATTTATTTGCTTTTGTTTATACGTATACGTAAGTGTTTTGCCTACATGTATGTACGTGCACCACATTCAGGGCCCCAGAAGGCCAGAAGAAGGAGTCGGGACCTATAAAGCAGGCAGCTGTTGGTCACCAGCCAGTGCTAACCACTGAGTGATCTCCCAGCCCAGGAGTTTCCCTTTTTCATTTATCCGGCTTCCTGTCCACTGTGTTTTCCTCATCTCCAGACTTGCCCCTCCCCGCAGCTTCAGAAAGCAATCTATCGCTGTCTCTACATGTTTAACACCCCCCCCACCCCCCCAACACCCCCAACCCCCCTCACCCCCCACCGCCCCCCGCCACACACACACTTTCTCTCCTCATCCTCTGAAATTCCAGTTACATGTATGCTGTAGACTAATGCTTGTGTCCCTCCAAATCCCTGTGTTGAAAGACTGTCACATTATTTTTGTTTATCAGTTATTCTGAATCTGTCTTTCTTTCTAATCTCTACTGCTCATTTTAACATCTGAAATCTTAGTGGTTCTAAATCCCTTGGAGGGTGTTCCCCCTAGCCTTCATTCATGAGGGGTGTGTGTGTGTGTGTGTGTGTGTGTGTGTGTGTGTGTGTGTGTGTGAGAGAGAGAGAGAGAGAGAGAGAGAGAGAGAGAGAGAGAGTGTGCTCGAGCATGTTGAATCTTTGTGTTGACCTTTCGTTTGCTTTAAGTGAGTGAGAGCTTGTTACCCCTTATTGAGAGTGATTTTCTTTGAGGGGATGTTGTGTTTGATTTTTCTCCTGACCTGAGACTCCATTAGCCTCCCTCCAGGGTCTGTTTGGTTTTCCAGCTCTCGGTTGCACACGGCAGCTCCCATCCCCTGCCTGCCAGCATGTGCTGATAACATCATGCCTCCATCTTCTCCTCAGAGGTTTAGCTCGGAGGCTTGCTTCACCTCCTGGAGGCCAGCAACGGACAACACGAGCCGTGTAGTTCCCTGTAGGAGGACGACGGTCCTCTACCGCCTGCTTGGCTGCAACGGCTTCGTAGGGTTTCAATTTAAAAATCGGTTAAAGTCTGTTTTAGCTTTTTTTTTTACCCCCCGAGACAGGGTTTCTCTGTGTAGCTTTGCACCTTTCCTGGAACTCACTCTGTAGCCCAGGCTGGCCTCGAACTCACAGAGATCCGCCTGGCTCTGCCTCCCGAGTGCTGGGATTAAAGGCGTGCGCCACCACCACCTGGCTGGCTTTTCTTTTTTGAGACAGCACTACCCTGTAGTCCAGGCTGGCCTGCAGCTTACTGTGTAGGCCAGGAAGGCCTCTAATTCACTGCAATTCTCCTGCCTCAGCCTCACGAGTGCTGAGGTGGTAGGTGTGAGGCATCCTGTCTGGTTTTCCACCATCCCCCCCCCCCCAGGGGTGAGACAGAAAGAAGAGGAGGGAGGAAGAGAGGTCACACCCATCAGTGCCGACCGACCCTTTAGACGACACCGTCGCCTGACGCAGCCCGCAGGAGCACAGCCTGCTTGGTGCAGCACATCCGGTGGAGAAATGGACAGGCATAAACGAGGGAGGAGCCCAGATGGCTCAGAACCCAGACGGCTCAGTACCCCAGGTGGCTCAGTACTCCAGACAGCTCAGTACTCCAGACGGCTCAGTACCCCAGATGATGGCTCAGTACCCCAGATGATGGCTCAGTACCCCAGATGGCTCAGTACCCCAGGTGGCTCAGTACTCCAGACGGCTCAGTACCCCAGATGATGACTCAGTACCCCAGATGGCTCAGTACCCCAGGTGACTCAGTACCCCAGATGATGGCTCAGTACTCCAGATGGCTCAGTACCCCAGATGGCTAGTACCCCAGATGGCTCAGTACAACGGAATTCCCATGAGACCAGCAGCCTTGGGAAAACATATGAGTAGGCGCGTCTTTGTCGAGTTATGGCCCCATGTCATGGTGTTTAGAATCAGTTTTCTAAGAAGTCAGGTGGTCTGGTACCCAAGAAAATGACATAGTGTCACAGTAATCACCGTAGCTTCTGTCTCTTCCCTGTGACTTCACTTAGATATGTTTTTTGTGGTTCTGTCCCACCACAGGCCAAGGAGTAGACGAGCCCCTTTCCGAGACTGGGTTTAGGCAAGCAGCCACCACTGGTCGGTTTCTGAACAACGTGCAGTTTACACACGCTTTCTCCAGCGATCTCACGAGGACTAAGCAGGTGAGTTCAGGCTAAGTGTCTAGGCCAGAAGCTCAGCGATAGTGAGCTTGAAAAACCCGCTTCCAAAGCCCCGTGAGAGGACTCAGTGGGTACAGGTGCCTGCTACCAAGCCTGATGACTCAAGTTCAGTTCCTGGGACCCACGTGAGAGAAGGCACAAACTGACTTTCAAGTTGTGCTCTGACCTCCACATGCATGCCACAATGCACACATGCCCATACACACTCACACAAAACGAATGAAATACCAAAACTACAAGGCATATGGAGGGGAGAGGGGCGGGGGTCTTAAACGATTTCTGGTATCTCATGTCCATCAAAACCAGTTAGACATAAAAAAGGAAATGAACAAAATCGGGCAAAATAACACAGCACACCCAGCCTCGGGAGTTAGCAGATGCAGACTTCATTATTTCTATATTTTGAAACAGTGTATTGTTGTGTAGCCCAGACTGGCCTTGAACTTGCCATTCCCCTGCCTTGGCTTCCTAAGTGCTCAGATATCAAGCCTGGGTTGCCATGTCCATCATCAGCTAAAGAACGTCAAATATTCCCTTATGCCTTGGGGGAAGAGAACCGAGAGACAGAGCAGAGAACCTGATGCAAATAAACAGAATGGGTGCAAATGGGCGAGACTGAGGCTTAAGGGATCCGTGACAGCTTCTCAGAGAGTTAGAACCGGAGTGGGGAGTGAGAAGATGGCCCAGTGGGTCAAGGGCTTGCCAGGTAAAAGATGGGTATGTTGTAGCAGCTACCAGCAGTCCCAGCAACTGGGAGACGGGGAGAACCCTGGAGCAGGCTGGCTAACTAGGTCAGTCAGAACTGGTGAACTCTGGGGCTAGCAAGAGACTGACTCCGTAAGTAAAGTGCAGAGTGATCCAGGAGCATACTCCAGGTCAACTCAGGGCCTCCAGGAGCACACTAGCCCAAATGTGCATACACACATGCATATCACACACACACACACACACACACACACACACACACACACACACACACACACGAAGAGCCATGAGGAAGGTTGGCATATCTTTTCTGTAAGGAGCCAATAATGGTGGTGTCTGTGACAGCGCTTTATTTCTGTTCAGACTGATATGGTTTGAATGCGGTTGCACAGGAAATGGTCGTGTGGTTGGGTTCTAATAAATCTTTATTTATAAAAACAGGTGATAGTCTGAATTGGCCCTGTGGACTAGATGTACAAAGCAGTAAACACCAGAGTCAGGCGTGAAGAGAACCCCGGGTATCAATGTGTGCTGGGCAGGTGCTCTGGGCAGCCAGAGAAATAGTTTTTGCACAAGAAAACTATAGCTAGTAATTTATAAAAACTAAGTGGCATGCTTTTGAAACTTCATGGTAACCCATTCTTATTAAAAGGAAGAAGAAAGAAAGAAACATTTTTCTTTTGGTTTTCAGACCATACATGGCATTTTGGAGCAAAGCAGATTTTGCAAAGACATGACTGTGAAGTATGACTCCAGACTTCGAGAAAGGGTAACTTGCTTCACCTTCTGCAGATTTCAGTGAGCTACAGCACAGATGCTGTCCTCTTGGGAAGTTATTTTTTTTAAAGATTGTTTTATTTATTATGCATACAGTGCTCTGCCTGCATGTATGCCTGCAGGCCAGAAGAGGGCATCAGATCTCATTACAGATGGTTGTGAGCCACCATGTGGGTGCTGGGAATTGAACTCAGGACCTCTGGAAGAGCAGCCTGTGCTCTTAACCTCTGAGCCATCTCTCCAGCCTGGGAAGTTATTTTTAATTGATATATTGTATGTATGGATGTTTTACCTGCATATATATATATATATATATATATATATATATACACACACACACAGGCATGCCTGGTTTTCAAGGAGACTAGAAAAGGATGTTGGATCTCCTGAGACTAGAGTTGTGAGCTGCCATGTGGGTGCTGGGAATTGAACCAGGGTCCTCTGGAAGAGCAGCTAGTGCTCTTCACCTCTGAGCTACCTCTCTAGCTCTTTCATGGGAATTTAGAATCAACTAATGTCTGTTAAGGATCTGTGTAGCTAGGCATAGTAACACACATCTGTAATCCCATCACTTGGAAAGTGAAGGCAGGAGGATGATGCACTTGAGGCCAGCCTGAGCTACACAGACCCTATCTCAAAAAAAAAAAAAAAAAAAAAAAAGCCAAGATCTAGAGATAATAGGTCAGTGGTAGAGTACTTGGCTAGAATGTTTGAGGCCCTGGGTTTAATTCTCAGACGGGAGGGAGGAACGAGGAGAAGGTGGTGGGGGTGGGGGTCTGCTCAGCTGTCATGTCATGCTGCATATTACGTAGAGCACCTTATTGAACGGTGTGAGGTGAGTGTGTCTTGAGTTACAGAAGAAAATCACACTGGGGAATTTTAAGGGCAAAGTGTTCTCCCTCCCTCTCCTACTCAGTGTGTATACCAGAAACGAGTCTTCGTAAAGCTGAGATTTAAATTTAGGGCAAGGCCCATGGAGATTTCCAACCTGAGATCCGAGCCTAGGTCTCGTGGAGTGTTAGTATTTTTTTATGCCCTACAATACCGACTCCAAGCTCGGTAACATCCCTCTCAGCTCCGGGTCCTTCTGATCCTGGGTAGAAACGGAACAGAATGGTGAGAGCATTCCAAAAGACCTGCCCCTCTCAGCTTGCATGCGTTCGCTCTCTGTGGTTCAAGATCCATACCAGCTTCTGCCAGAAGGAAGTTCCTGCTCTGTGCCTGAGAACTGCTGCTGAAAACGTGGTCAGGCATGACTCTGGTGGGTAGGCAGAGTGGTAGGGGTGGGTAGCCCCGCACACATTTTTCTCCCTTCTCAGAATTGAGCAAATCTCCCATTTGTCCGGTAAAGCCCCGCCATCTGCTTGGGCTAGCCTTGAGACGTTCTTCCCCACAGCCGCTTGGACAGAGTACCCCAGCTTGAGGATTCTACTGTGTTCAAGGGCGTGGGCCTCTGCTGGATGCAGCCCTACTAGCAAATCAGAGGAGATGGGGTCATAAATAAGTGAAGGAAGCTGAGCTTCTTCCTGGACAGTTTTAATTTCCACAGGCCTTTCCTGTTATGTGTAAGCAGCACTTTTGTCTAACTGGACTATTGCAGAAGTATGGGGTCGTAGAAGGCAAGCCGCTAAGCGAGATGCGGGCCATGGCCAAAGCCGCTGGCGAAGAGTGTCCCATGTTTACTCCACCCGGAGGAGAGACATTAGAGCAGGTATGTAGCCCGCATCTGGGTTGCCACACCGCTGGCACGTCAGTGAACTTGCCAGTGACCGAGTCACTGAATTCTGACAGATTTTGTACCCTAGCTCTTTGTGACTGACAGCCAAGTGGTTTGCAAGCTTTGAAGACAACTGTTTGTCTTCCCCCCTCCCCCTTTTCCGAGTTACCCTGTCTGTCCGAGCCACTGTGAGCCAGCAGCCATCACTGGTGATAGAGACAGCCTCTTAAATGATACTAAGAAAAACTTAGCATGAGGTGGTGGTGTAGGCAGTGTTGGCACAGACAGGGGAGGGGGGGCACCAGTGACTCAAGCTCTGCCTCTGGACCCCCGAGTTCTGGTCTCCAGGCTGTGTGGCCAGCCCTTTGCCCACTGAGGCATTCCCCAGCCCTCCTCTTCCCTTTCTCTTAATGTCTTCAGCAACTAGTGATTTTTTTTTCTGCAAGTCCCATAGAAACCTTAGGATTTTATCGGCAAGCTGTATTTCAGGCTCCTGTGTTAAGGACACCATTAGCTTCGCTTCATTTCCTCTTTTACTTCTTCCCTTGTAGGTGAAAATGCGTGCAAAGGATTTCTTTGATTTTATTTGTCAGCTGATCCTGGGCGAGACAGGCCAGAGAGAGGGCTGCTTCCCCGGAGCTCCAGGCAGCCGTCTGGAGAGCTGTTTGGCGGAGGTCTTCCCTGTAGGAAAACGTGGCAGTTTGGAGTTGTGCCCTGATGGTGGCACCTCTGGTTTAGTAGCCAGCCTCTTAGTTGTGAGCCATGGAGCTTACATGAGAAGCCTCTTTGGCTACCTTCTGAGTGACCTCAAATGCTCATTGCCAGCAGCACTCGGCAAATTAGAACTCTCGTCAGTCACTCCCAATACTGGGATTAGCGTCTTTTTCGTAGACTGTGAGGAAGGATGCGAACCAGCAATTCAGTGTATTTGCATGAACTTCCATGAGCATCTAAATGGAGTGACCGAGAAGCGTTAACCTACACTCTGAGGCCTCTGCAGGGAGTGCCTTGGACTATTGCATTTGTGTCCTCTGCCCCTGCTGTTTTAGAAGCAGTTAAGAATCCATGTGATAAAGCCCCACTGGGGCCCTGGCTGTATCAGATGGTACCACTACCCACATCCACCCAAAATCAACCTGGTTTTTTTTTCTGAGTGCACTTGCCATTTTCTACAGTATTTTGCCACTCTGTTCCATTATGTTTCTTAATTATTAACGTATGGGGACATTCAGCATTGCACATTAGGGGATTAGTAGCCTTCTTCCCACAGTCTGTATTTCATTGATCTTTTTGATGTCTAGATGATGGCGTTGGCTTTTGAAGATAACTGTGTGCTTTTTCAGTAGCGTATCAAGTGCTGGCAGGAAAGAACGGTTTGTATAATTCACTGTATTTGCAGTGACAGTGTTGGAGTCCAGAGTCCTCTAAACTGAAACTTCTGTCTTCAGTGTGTGTAACATGACATGACAAAACACTAAAGCATCTTTCATAGAAATCAGATCTTGGGTCTTTTTGTTTTTTGTTTTTTATTTTTCATTTTTAAAGGCCCAAAATAAAGATGAAGGACTGGAGGGACAGACCAATGGTTAAGAGTACTTCCTGTTCTCCCAGAGGACCCCAGTTCAGATCTCATTACTCATATTGGGCAGCTCACAATTGCCTATAACTCCAGCACCAGGAGGTCAATGCCCCATCCTGGCCTCTGTGAGCACCAGCACACACACACACACACACACACACACACACACACACACACACACACACACACACACACACACACAAATAAAGACAATAAAAAACACACGTTAGGGAGCCTCTGGGCAGAAGACAAAAGCAACTTTCCAGGCAGACCAGGAAAAAAAAAGATTATCCCTTGCTTTACATCCACTCTGCATGTGCAGACTTTCCAGTTAAGGAATGATCTAAAGAAAATAAACCCAGACTAGTATTGAGAAGAGGTGCTGAAAAACGGTGTCCGGAAGGAACAGATGAAGTAGCCTCCTTTCCCCCAGATGGCGCTAGAGGAAAGGGATTTTGCTTGCCCTTCAGGAGTCCTTATCGGAGGAAATGATTAGCTGCTGAAAATTCGAGGCTCAAGTCATAATATCAGGGAGAGGAATTAGGTGGGGAAATGTAATTGTAATTCTGGACTCTGCTCTAGAGGAATCTGACCAGAAACAGCTAGTGGGATTGAGTGCTTAGTGAACAGTAGGTATCAAACATGAGATGCTTAGGAAAAACAAAGTTCCCCTGCAAAGGAACACACGAGTCAAGGCTGGCCACAACCTGATTGTAAAGCACTCGATCCTTCCCCTGTCTGGACACTTTGTAGAGCTGGTGCCAACACTATAGATACTGGTGACCAAAAACTAAGGGTTTATTTGGGACTCCAAATGCGTGTGTACCCTGAACAAAAGCATTCCTGACATCATGAGTCCAGAATGTGGCCCTGTTCCAAGAAACTCAAGGAGTGATTCAGGAGGGTGCAGAAAAGTTGTCCTATTGGTGACAAAGAACTTCAGCTTAAAAGTCACCTTAGCATTTGGGGCAAGAATTGCCTCAGGAGACTTCAGTCGAGCCCAAGGCTGTGGGGTTTGGTCCTATACCCACTCCTGGAGAGGTGTTTGTTTGTTTGTTTGTTTTTGTCTTGGCCTCGAGCGTCCAGTGTCAGGTATGTGGTTCAGGGAGCAGTTCTGACGGCAAGGGTGGTGGGCTGGGTTCATCCGCAGTGTTACCCGAGACCGACCTGAGTCCCTGATGCTGCCCCAACAGTTACAGAAATAACTTCCTCTTACCAGGCTGTATTTCCCCACCCCTAAGTCTAGAAGATAACGTGTTACATCTTGAACATGCTGAAAGGAATAATAAAAAAAAAACTATAAAAATTGACAGAAAAAATGCACAATGGATAAGCTACCCCAAAGCAGTATCAAAATGTTATTTTGACCTGAAATCAGATGAGAAGACACCGAGAACCTCAGTATTAGCCAAAAAAACAGGACAATTTTCAAAGCTCATCCTTACCACCTTCCCACCCGCCCAGAGACGAATTGCACATCTTGATACTTGCTGAGCTGTGTCCTAGCCATCTCCAGTGCCTTGAGACCTAGCCCTATTCAGCTATATAGTTTTGTTACAAGGATTCTTTTTTAGCAATTTCAGGTTTATGGAAAAATCAGGCAGAAAATAGGAAGTTGACCTACACATCCTCCGTCCAGTTTATTACCAAAGTCTTACACACCTAGTGTGTGTAAAGGGGTCTGTGTCTGAATGAAGTGTTCTGCATGTCAGTGTTGAGCTACCAGGTCCATGGCTGCGTGGCTCTCACGTCCCAGGAGGAGTGCTGAGTGTCCAGTGAAGGCTGCCTTCCCACTCCTTTGTCATCTGCCTTGCAAACAAGTTCAGTGTTCACACGATCCTGGGTGTGCCCAGCACTACCAGAGTTTTCTGCCCGAGTTGGGCCTGGCGTGAATTTGAGAACTAGAGGAAAATGTGATAAAAACCCCGAGGGATTCGGAAGTGTCGTGTGGGCCTAGGTTCCATCCTCAGCCCTGGGAAAAGAAGACCACACAGGTGGGTGGGACCCTGCCCTTTAAGAACGAGAAGCCCAATGGTCAGTGGGTAGAAACCCCCCTTGCCTGCCCCAGGGCTGCGCAGGCACAGGTTACCACATTAAGTTCTCGGGTTCTTTACTTTACCCGGTGTGTATGAGGTAGCAGTTTTGTTCTGACACCTTTCAACTATACATAAATACCCAACTGTCTGTGTTCTCCATTGGACCCATATTGTTTGGGACACTATTTATTTGGGAATGTACAGATCTATTTAATTGTAACCACTATTCTATTGAATAAATAAAGTACCTTTTGTTTATCATGGGTGTTTAGGTCTGTTCAGTATTCTGTAGGCACGGTTTCACAGGGAAGTCTTGCAGGCGGGTCGTGAGACAGTCTCATGATGTATGTCAGGTTGGTCTCAAACTCAGCATGTTCCTGTCTTACCTTCCCCAATGCTGGAATTACAGGTGTGCACCTCCGCACTACCCAGGAAGTCTCACTGTATCATTCTTGTGCAGGGTCTTGGGGTTCCAGATCCTGTCTGACCTCAGTGGCACCCTGAACCCATGTTACTCGCCCATCCCACTGTCAGTGTCCAATGTACTTGATTTACAGTTTTATGCCAACACTTGATGCTGTCCGCCTTAGTTTTAGTAATCCGACAACTGAAACCCAGGGTTGCATGCTAAGAAATTCCTCCAGCTGCTGAGAAGCCCACACACTTCGTTTTTTCCTCACACATGTATGGACAATTCCCCTCAATGGTGACCCTCTGCTTTATAGTCCCTGCTTGGTTTTCTCGGCTGTCTCAATGAGTTACAGAAGTAACTTGATGACCCTGTTACAGACACACAGATCTTCCAGTTGCTTGTGCATTTTTTTCTTTTAAAAAAAAAGTTTGTTTTTTTAATGTTAAGTGAGTGTTTTGCCTTCATGTGTGTATGCGCACCATGTGCATGTCTGGTGTCCATGGAGGTTAGAAGATGTCCTCTGGAACTGGACTTAAGGACAACTGTGAATCACCATGTGGGTGCTGGGAGCCAAACTTGGGTTTTCTACAAGAGCAGTGCGTGCTCTTAACTGGTGTGCCGTCTTCCACCCCCTCTTTTGTTTGTTCAAAGATTTATTTTGTGTGTATGAGTGTTTGCCTGCATGTATGTGTACTGTGTGTGTTCCTAGTTCTCACAGAGGCCAGAAGGGGGCTCCAGATCCCCGCCCCCACCCCCAGGAACTGGAGTTAAGGATGGTCGTTAGTCACCTTGTGGGTGCTGGAAACAAAACCCAGCACAGTTAAGAACAAGTCCTCTTAGCTGCTGAGCCGTCTCTCCAGCCCCCTGTGCATTTTTTAATGTAAGTGTAATTTTCAAGTTAGTCCAAAATGTTTGGTCTTTGTTTTAGAAGAGGCTAATATATTTTGTATTGCATACATTTGCATATATGCACATTTACATGTACACATGATCAAATCTGTAAGTTAAATGCCTTTTTTTGTGTCTCTCCACTCTGTTAATGTAAGTCATAGCTTAAGTGAAGGGTCTTCCTAGGTGAGTGTCCCCAGGTTTAATGATGAAGCTAGCTACATGAGGACAGATGGGACACTCACCAGTCTGAAAAATGGATAGGACTCTGCTGGTTTTGTGTTAATGTGACAGAATACCCGAACCAATCAACTTAGAAAGAAAAAAAGCTTCCTTTTGGCTTATCCATTTAATCCATGGCCAAGTAGCCCTACGGTTTGGAACCTATAGTGAGGCAACAGTTCATGGCAGGGAATGGGCAGAGTGGAACTTCTGTCCTCAAGCTGAGAAGTCAAACATGAAAGCAAGGCCCTGGAGTCCACCATCCCTTCAAAGACACCACTCCAATGACCTAAAACCTCCTAAAGTCTTGCCACCTCCTACTAGGGGCTTCAGAGATGTTGAAATCTAAACTATAGCAGACTCCAGCAACCTTTCCTGTTTCATGCAAGGATTGCATAAAAATATCCCATCACTGTAAGGATGGCACTTGGATAAAGCGCAGTTTATGAGATGCCACATCCTCTGTCTTCCTGAAGGATCTCCAAGCAGGTCACTAACAAGTCCCCAGGCTCAAAAGCCAGAGCAGCTGAGCTGCCTGGAAGAGGCACTCTCCAAACCAATGAGCTGCCTGCAGGCTGTGCAGTGAGCTCCAGGTTTCCAGCTTTCCATGCTGGCTTTGGTGACAAGCTGTCTAAGCCATTTCTACTCCTGTAAGGAACCCCAGTAAACTCATCGGTTCACCAAGCTGGACTTTGAACTGCTGTCAACTCCCTTTCCCTCTCTGGAGTGGATAGACATTTGTTCGCGTCTCCCCAGGAGAAGTGTCACCCAGCAGTCCCACTGTCACACCTCACAGGACAGTAACTGTGTTAAGAACATATTCTCTTGGTTTATTTTTCTAGCTTAAACATAGCCTCTCCCCCCCATGCGTTGAAGGCCTGGTGCTAGTGGAAGGTGGTGCCATTTCAGGGGCAGGGCTTACTGAGACGTCCTTAGGTAATTGGGGATGTGCACACTAGTCAGACCTCGGCCTCTTTTCCCTTACCAGCCTGAAAGTAAGTGGTTTTGCTCTGCCACGGGCTCCCACCACAATGTGCTGACTTGTCTACCATAAAAGAAGTGGTTCTCTGGGTTGTGGACTAGAACTTCCAAAGTATGGTTCCAGCCTTTTATCTTCATAAATAATCATGCTACGTATTTGTTAATAGTGATGGAAAACTCATATGATATAGTATCTGGTTAATGAGATTTCAGTGTGGTTATGCCAGTATGTCTTTTTCAAACTAAAAATCTTCCAAGGAATCACTTGCTTCATCAGAAACCCAATATTGATATAATTTCATCATTTTTGATCCATTAAAATTGTTGAATATGCTTATAAATGGAAGAAATTTTGACTCTGAAAATCTTTTTCCTTTCCCCATTCTGTTCTCTCCAGATTTTCCAAATGCCTCCCTTTTATTCTCCCATCTCAACACACACGAGTGCAGTCATACAGAGGGGTTCAGAAACGGAATCTGAAAGAAATTTTATTTTTATTTAAAACAGAAGGAAAGAAGTGGGCGTTACATTTTATAAATAACTATAAATATAGAGTGATAGGCAAAAAAAATCTTCCAAATAAATAAATAAATATTGCCACATGCGAAGGGACCTAAGAAATTACAAGGTTACCTTGGCTCTGTGAAAAAGAAAGCCCCATGGTGCTTGCTGCTGAGCTTGTGAGCTCACGACCAGTTTGCTTCTCAAGTCCTTTCAGGGTTTTTCCACAGAATTGCCTCAGTGGGAGGGCCTCTGGTGGCTACTGTCCAGACCAATATTCCCAACAGGAAATGAGAGCCAGTGGAGAAAAGGTTTGGGGTACATGGCATCTACCACTATGGTCGACGGTTTTAGTATTTCAGAGTGGGAGCTGGTCCTTCACATTGCCTGACGTTCCTCTGACAAGCAAAAAACAATGGATTCATTTCTACGTCTGTGTACATGAAGACAGTGGAAATCACGAAGTTGTGTGAATGAGCACTCTTCAGGTACTCCTTTAAATAGAGGGAGGAAGGGGCGCCCTTTGTTGAAGTCTATCACCAGCTAAGGCTCAGAAGAGAGCAGAGCCTCAAAGCCTGCTTTCTTGCTGTTCATGGTGAAGCTATGCTCGCCCCAGGACAGCCCCGGGGTTTTTGGGATGACTGAAAAGTGTCTTCATTTAATGCCCTAAGAGTTCCCAAGAGTAGCCTCCATTTCTGGGTTAGCCCCTGCTAGAGACCTCTCCTGCTAGCTAGACCCATTGGATCCCATTTCACTTAGAAGAAAGAAAAAAAAAAGACACCCCTCTACCCCCTCTCCCCCAGTCCACAGAAAACCTAACCTAGAGCAGCCCCACGTCTCAAGGACTCTTCCTTTCCTGGCATGTTTTCACAGTTCACCTAGAATACATCACAACTCAGCCTGCTGGTGGAGGCTTTCACTAAAATGCATCTTCAGAAAGAGTTCGTGCATTTGCATTTCGCAAACCTCCCTAGCAAGGTGGACTTTGCTAAGCCAGGGCTATCTGTGTCCTATCACAGAGAGCTGGGGACGGAGCGGGGTCAGCACTAGTTCTGCGAATCTGGCAGAGTGTTCAATCTGCAGGGAGACTGAGCTTTGCGGAACATGCTTCAGTTCACCGCGTGTTTGGATCTGTTTGTCAGCCTCCTGCCAATCTTTTTTGAAAGCTCTTCCAGAAAGAAGACATCAGTGTTTTTTTCGACTTGCCCAGTGAATCCATTAAGGCACTCAACTAAAAAACCCGTGTGGGTCCCAGAACAATAACAAAAAGCTGTAGAGATAGCCTCTTCCCTGTGTTCAAGGTGTGAACTCTGAACCACTGTTTCTTAATGCTAATTGATCGACGAGAATGCTAGGCAAGAGACAGGCTAATAAAAGCCAAGTGTCTAGTATACCTGTTAGTCAAAAAAAAAAAAAAAAAAAATTAAAAGCCAGGTGTCTAGTTTACTGTTAGGGTCTTTAAAACAGATTAACATTATAAATTACGTGTATGTGTATGTGGGTATGTATGTGCATGTGAGTGCAGGTGCCCAAACAGGCTAGACGCATCAGATTCCCCTGGAGCTAGAATTACAGGTAGTTGTGGGTGCTGAGAACTGTCCTCTGCGTGAGCAGCACAAGCTCTTAACCTCTGAGCCGTTTCTCCCACCTCCCACTGTTGGGTTTCATTCCAAACGGTGGTGCCCGGCTGGGACCTCGCAGGTGACTCTCAGGCCCAAAGGGAAAGGAGAGAAGCAGACACCCCAACCTTCCAACCTTGCACGTGGCCTGAGCCGATTGGAGGATGGAGGCTGAGGCCGCCGGGGCTGGTGGCCTAGGCGAACCTGGGAAAGGGGCGGCAGCGGTCCGCGCCCCCGGGGCCCCCGCGCGCGTCCCCGCGGCCTCTGCGCAGTACGCCCAGTGGGTCACTGGCGGCGGGGCCGCCTTCCTCGGCGCTCGGCAGCTCCCGGGAGCAGGATACGGGCACGGGCGTGGCACGGGGCCGCGGCTTGAGCACGTTCAGGGGGTCGCGCTCGGGAGGGTCCTCGGCGCTGCGCGTGTGGCGCCGTGGCCGCGCGGTGTGGAAGCGCAGCAGCGGGACCTCGTTCCTGCGCGCCAGGAACTGCGAGAAGGGCGGCGGGTTGGTGCCCGGCTGGAAGGGGCCCTTGGCGCGGCCCAGGCTCACCAGGTAGTGATGCTGCGGCGACAGGTAGACATCGTAGCCGTTCTCCAGAGTCCTCTGACGGAACCTGCAGTTCTCCGGGCTGAAATGATGCTGGAAGGGAAGGGGAGCACGAGGGGGTGAAGGCCACCGCTCCGTTAAGGGGTACTGCTCAGCCCAGTCCCTCACCTCCCTCTTAAGAAAGGCTGTCTGAGTGCTGAACTTGGCTCCAGCTTTAGGAGAGTGGCTGCTGTAAGGACCCAGGGGGGCACTGTCTAGAGGACCTTGGTCTGGAGTCCAGCTTGCCGGAGCAGGGCCCAGAAAGAGCTGGTGACATTCCTCTTGTTCAGGGTCGGCTAGGAGAACCAAACATTCACGTTCTCATTCATTCATTCTGTTCATGTCCCTGTCTCTCTTAACTGTCTGCAGGGGGGACTAGGCTAACATTCATAGTCTCCTGCCCCTCTCCCTTAACCAACCCCCCCCACCCACCCCCACCCACCCCCCACCCCACCCCGCTCCATTCCCGGGAATGAACTAGAGTTTCATACATGGCAGGCAAGGGCTTTACCACTGAACGACAGGCCCAGCCCCTTTTCTGTTTTTTCGTTTTGAGGCAGAGTCTCATTGAGTTACCCAGGCTGGCTTTGGAACTCTGCAGTGTAGCCCAGGGAGACCTTGAACTTTCTATCTTCCTGCCTCAGCCAACCGAGTAGCTTTGCTGGACGGCTTGTGCTACTGGGCCTGGGTTGTATAGTTTTTAAAGCTCTGCTGGCTGAAAGGAGGTTGTGGTTTGTCTCGTTGCCTAGAGAATGGAACTGGGATGGACTTTGACTGGGGTCAAATGTAAGTTGAGGGTACTGACACCAAGACATAATGTAGACTGAAGATCAGGAACGTGAACTTGCGAACAGGTATTCTGGGTTTGAACTTCATTCTCCCATTTGTACTGAGTTTTATTGAGTGCCTACCTGGACCTTTACATGTTTCCCAACAGATGAGGGCTTCCTGTGTGCATAGGTATCTATCTGCTCTAGACAGTTGGTATTGTAGGTTCCGGGACATGCACAGCAGTAACTAAACAGAAAGCTTTTTCTTCAGGAACTTTGTACCAGACATTGATAAGGGACTCCTGAGTCAAACGGTCCTTCTTCATTTCCACCTCAAAATTATTGGGACTATGCTTTAGCCTTTAGTTTAGAAAAACCTTGATTTACAATCTGAAGGACCTGCCATCACCCCGAGGGCACAGGTAATTATTTGGAGGTCATTAGCAGGAGGGACAGTTCAGGTCACACGGTCCATTCCACTTCACTTTTTCTAAGGGAAGAGACCGAAGTTGGGAGGATTGAGAGAACTTCCCCAAGGCCACAGTTGGTAACCGAACTGTGAAGACACCAAGGGTCGCTCACCCTTTCTAGTGTATAAATTAAAAGCACAAATTGACGTGGCCTTAGGACCTACAACAGGGACTGTGTGCCTGGTAAGAATGGGGACCAGGGGACAGTGCAGACTGGAGGTCGGTGTGCCTGGTAAGAATGGGGACCAGGGGACAGTGCAGACTGGAGGTCGGTGTGCCTGGTAAGAATGGGGACCAGGGGCCAGTGCAGACTGGAGGTCGAGAGGCTCGTTCCAAACCCCAGCTGCCTGAACCTGAGCATTTCCTACTGAGACTGAACAAAGTACTTAGTGACAGCAAGTAGTGACCAAGGGGCACGCTAAGTGGGATCTCTAAAGTTGGAAATACCACAGCCCTGACGAGAAATACAAGTAAGGGCTGGAGAGATTGCTCGGTGATTCAGAGTGCGTACATGCTCCTTTCCCAGAGTTCAATTCCCACACAGACACAGGATTTTAAAAATCAAGTCTTAGAAGAAGAGATAAAGTCATTATAAAGTGGTGGCCAACACAAAAAGAAACTCACTGATCCAAAAATGTTGCCTCTGAGATCCATACAAAGGAACCTTCTAGTCATGGCTCCTGTTATGACCACGAGGCCGGCATCCTCTGATCTAATCATCAAGGCACCTGCAAAAAAACTCTCAGGTTAAAATATGCAATTACCCCTTCCTTGAAACATTTTCTGAAAATCACCGCCAAGACACCTCTCTGTTGGGGATGGCATCACACAACTCTCCATTTCTAATTGTTCCTCTCACTTCCCGTGACTCCCAACTCCGACATCAACACTCATGTGCCTCCTGCTTTATTCTCCTTCATGGATGGGGATCTCCCAACAGGCCCACATCTGTGCAGCACACCGATTTCCCTCCATCTGGATGCTGCTCCTCTCTTTGCCTGGCTACTACCTTTTAGTGTTTGGGGCCACGGTCCTGTCCCTCTGAGATGACTGCTTCTATGATTTTAAAATCTATGTTGAAATGTCATTCCGTGACCCAGCTTGTATAGAGCCTGGTTCTCCCTCACTACAGGTCCCATGCTCAGAGTTGATTTCTGGTCCCTGCCTGATAAGGCGCTTCCCCTTCAAGGCCAGCTGTAGGCATCTCTGTGCCTTCTTACCTCCCCAGTCAGAACTGGCTGCTCTTCAGCATAGTGCCCCTGCTGTTACTACAGCGTGTCCCTCACCTGGCTCTACCATATTTGCGTGTCTAAAATCTTTCCCAGAGAAGCGGAGAGCTCCACCCCCAGACGTTTAATAGACCCCAGGGATGGTCAGAATTTGCCTCTTGGACCCAGTCTTTTGTGCTTTTCTCACTTGGAGATGCTTTTTGTAGATGCTGAACTTGGACCACTTTCAATAGCCTCACTTAAAAACTTGCCTTTGACTAAGGTCTGAAGCATGCCTATATCATCCACACCTTAAACAGTGGGTCAATACCATTAAATGGGCATTCTGTAATAAAGATAAGATTAAGCCACACTGTGTTGTAAAATGAATGGTGATTCAGCAAGACTTGGCATTTTCTGTTAAAAGTAATTTCCATAGATCTTTGAGGACACTTTTAACTGCCTGCTGTGGAGCGTCACTTCAAGGCCCCAAGGAGGCTGCTCAGACAGAACTTCTAATCCCTCTTCAGAAAGGTCTGTGCCTACCTAGCGTGTGGGAGAACATCATGGGACGATTTGAAGCCTGAGGCCTCGTTCCTACCCTACATAGGCTCAGAACAAAGACCTTTAAGGGGAGTGAACAGGCAAAGGTCAGGTATCCCCTAACGCCAAAGCCTGGTACACACTGAAGCAGGGATGATGTGGACAGAGCGTGGTACACGCTGAAGCAGGGATGATGTGGACAGAGCCTGGCGCACGCTGAAGCAGGGATGATGTGGACAGAGCCTGGTACACACTGAAGCGGGGATGATGTGGACAGAGCCTGGTACACGCTGAAGCAGGGAAGATGTGGACAGAGCCTGGCACACGCTGAAGCAGGGATGATGTGGTCAGAGCCTGGCACACGCTGAAGCAGGGATGATGTGGACAGAGCCTGGCACACGCTGAAGCAGGGATGATGTGGACAGAGCCTGGCACACGCTGAAGCAGGGATGATGTGGACAGAGCCTGGTACACGCTGAAGCAGGGATGATGTGGACAGAGCCTGGCACACGCTGAAGCAGGGATGATGTGGACAGAGCCTGGTACACGCTGAAGCAGGGATGATGTGGACAGAGCCTGGTACACGCTGAAGCAGGGATGATGTGGACAGAGCCTGGCACACGCTGAAGCAGGGATGATGTGGACAGAGCCTGGCACACGCTGAAGCAGGGATGATGTGGACAGAGGGAATGTAAGCAGACCTGAGCCCAGGAAGGTGAGAGCAGAAGAGGACAGTTCATTTGTTTCAAGTGTCTCAATGTTTGGCCGCTGGTTAGCTTTCAGGAAAACTGCCAAGTGGGGAGAGGTACCACATACTTTCTTCAAAAATGATGTCTGACTATGTATCTCAAGTATATAGCTGATTTTATGCATACTCAGACATACATAAGAAATACAGAAGAATTTCTGTCCTGAGGGCTTTTTGGTCCAAATCAAGGCGGGGTGGGGGTGGGGTGGGGGCGAGGCAAAGGATTACATTTAGTGAGTGTATTTTTCCCTTTTCCTTCCCTCCCTTCTTCCTTCCTTCCTTCCCTCCTTCCTTCCTTCCCTCCCTCCCTTCCTTTCTTCTCTCTCTCTCTCTCTCTCTCTCTCTCTCTCTCTTTCTGAGTGGGTGCCCTCTTAAGCACTCTATATATTTTAAATTCTCAAAACAACTATTATATTGTTAAAATAAACATCATTATCATATTAGTAGTTGCTGCAGCATCTTGAAGAGACAACGCAGGATTCGAACTCAGGTCCGTGACATCTTCCTGCCCTGCAGCTGTAGCCTCCAACAGAAAAAGTGATAAAATGCCACTGGGACATCGAATTTCTGTGCCCATGAGGGATGCTGGTCCCAAGCTGGCTCCTTAAGAAACTCGTAGCCATGGGAACTTCGCTGCTGCAGCCCCAGCCTCAGAAGTGAGCACAGTCTGTGGAGTGAGCACAGCGTAGCCGTTCCCGCCTGCTTTCTAGGGTTACCACCGATCAAACGGGATAGTGGCTGCACAAATGACTTGACAGCTGACCACTTCCTCGGCCTGACGTCTTGCCAGCCTGTCTGATGGATGCAGGCAGTGAGCACAGTATACATGCCCCCTCACTCCAGGGCCAGTCCTAACAGAAAATGCCCTGCAGAGTACGTGAGTGGTTACCAGGGGTGGGCACCTCTGAATGGGCTTTTTTTTTGTTTTTCGAGACAGAGTTTCTCTGTGTAGTTTTGGTGCCTGTCCTGGATCTCGCTCTGTAGACCAGGCTGGCCTCGAACTCACAGAGCTCCTCCTTGGCTCTGCCTCCCGAGCGCTGGGATCAAAGGTGTGCACCACTGCCACCTGGCTTTAATGAGCTTTTGAATGAAACCTACAGAAGCCAGCAGAAAAGTTCACTTGGCCAAGTACATGCTAAGCCACACACCAGAGGAAAAGAATGGACTATTAAGCAAGGGTGATAAGCAATTCTTTTCTGCCATTTCCAAAAGTGAGCACAATGGGGAGTGGGAAGCTGGCCTTGTTCATATTAGAAAAAGCTTACCAACCCTGGAGAGGCCCCAAGAGCCTTCTGAGTTCAGGGGAGCTTGGGCATCTTGGGGGGGCGGGCAGAGCATTCCATCTTGTTAAGACCAATGACCCGAACAGGAGTTGGACACTCCACTCTTAACCAAGAACTTAATAAAGCAAAACGTTAACATGAGGCAGTAGGAACTTCTGCCTCATTTTGTCATCGTGAAGATGTAATGAGATGTCCTGACCCCCAGCGGCACGGCATGCATGCGGTGGTGTACAGGCATACATGCAAACAAGACTGTGTACATGTGAAATAAAATAGACAAATGGGATCATAATAGAACCAAGCTCTGCTGTGACTATGTAGTCAGGGGGAAGATTACACTAATAATATGTAAAGATAAGAACAAGATAAAGAAATGCACATGATAACTGAGTAGTGCTTTAGGTTCAATGTTACTCCCCTCCCCCAAAGGCAAAGCTTACACAAGATAAAAATCACACACAAAAACTAGTCAGGTCAGTTCACTTTACTGCTCCTCAGCCACATTCATTGCATCCTCCAGCCCCGTGTCTGTCAGCACCCAGGGAAAAAGGCCTGCCATTCAGACTTTCAAAGCAGGCTGACCTCATACATCCTCCCCACACCTGGCCCGACTGTTCCAGACTGACTTCTTGGTCTATGCAGAGAGGCTGCCTTTCAGCAAAGGGATTCTGTGATTCTAAGAACGTTCCATATGTATTCTCTAATTATAAGCAAATTTCCAGTCTCTAAAACCAAAATAGTTCCCCTTATCCACTGTCCAGCATTTGAAATTACATGTGGTCTTGCAGCGGAAGTCAGGCAGTCTTCCATGGGAAGAATACAATGGCGTTTCCTACAAGATTGATAATGTGCTGGGAGATAAGAGGTCTGTGAAGAACTGTGTCACTTTTCCAGTGACAGAGGGATGTGTGGTGTCGGGCACCTTGTCCCATTCCACAGAACACAAGCAGGGCTGGGGACCCATGAAGTGTACCCAGATTTATTTTGGATTCTCCCCATCTGGCCCAACCCTCACTTCCAAGAGGTAACTCCAGCATCCTACTTTCTCCCCTTGAGTTCTGGAGGATGCTTGGTATTTGGAGAGAGCCTCTCTCCTCCTCACATCTCCTGTCAATGTAGCCCTTGGACAGGTATAAGCTGCTGGCTTTGTACATGATTATATGTGGTTTAAGGTCATAGCAGAGAGAATGTCATGCGTCCCGCAAGGCCACATCCAGAAAACTGGGTCCACCTATTACAACAGCAAAGAAATCACAATCCCCATAGACAGTTCTTTAGTGAAATGAAAATGCTAATGCTCTGGCTGCTCTACATGGCACTGAACCCAGGTGCCTCCTCTGCACACTCTTCCAGTAACTTTTTAGAGTTGGGTTTTTACTGCATGTGTATGGCTGTCTTGTCTGCATGGATGTCTGTGCGCCACATTTGTGCAATGCCATCGGAGGTCAGAAGAGGGCATTGGATCTCTTGGAACTGGAGCTATGGACCACTGGAAGCCACTACTTGGTGCTGGACTGAACCTGGGTCCTCTGCAAGAGCAGCAAGTGCTCTTAGCTGCTGAGCCACCTCTCCAGTCCTACTTAGAATACTTTTTACATGCCTGCTAAAATAGAAACTGTGTTTTTCAATACCCATCTCTCTCATCTCTCTATTTTCTATGTATTATCACTTATGCTGGAAAGGGCTCTCATTTGAATACATTTAACTGATTGACAGTTATAGCTTGCGATCCAATTTTCCATAGAATCCAACTTTAAGAATATTCCAGGTGTCTCACAGCACCAGGGAGTTCACAACCAGTTCAGTTTGTTAGCAACTAAATACATTTCAGCTTCTCAGAGAGCCACCAACTCCTACAGGGAGCCTCGGAAGCACACCCAGCATACCTGTTGGGTAGATGCATTCAGTCAGACTTGCCAAGACAACATATCCCGGTAGCCTGGTGGTCAGTCTTGAACACATGTCTCTTGAGAAGGTTTTGTTCTGTTTTGAGACAGAGTCTCACTATGTAGCCCTGACTAGCGTGGAGCTCACTGTGTAGACCAGGCTGGCCTTGTATTGTATTAAGGATGTGTCCGGCTCTTGAGAATTTTCACAAAGCCAGAATACTAGGAATTTGGAGTTGAAAAGAGCCCCCTATTTCATTTATTCTAAATCTCGGGATCCGAGAATCTCCCCCACTGTCTCCCCCAGTTAAATTTCACCATCTGTGGTTCGGTCTGGGTCATTCTTCTCTTTGAGTCCATCTTTCTATCCATTTTCCCTCCAATTCTTGGACAGAAGGAAAGAAAACTGTCTCTCATTATTGGAAATGGCTTATGGCAGTGATTATTCAGGTTGAGAAAAACCTGTAGGTCCAATTAAGGAGGAGGAAAATCTTCCTCTTAGGTTCATATCTCTCTCTCTCTCACACACACACACACACACACACACACACACACACACACACACACTCAAGAGAGAGTGAGAGAGAGCCGTGCACACAAGAGGCTGGACATTTAGATTCCCCCTCCCTCTTATCTCCTCAGCACCCCTGGAGGTCAACAACAGGGCGTATCCCCTCTTCCCAACCTGGAGCCAGTACTCACTATAGATGGTCTGATGGGGTGTGCCATCTACATGGCCATCCTTGTGGATCTGGAGGTGATAACTGTTCCTGGCTGTAGCTGTGTACAGATGGGTCAGGCTGCCCCAGCTGGAGCCAAGCAGTGGGGAGGTGTCCAGGTAGGCTCTAACAGTGCCCCAGCTGCAGGCGCTCCACAGAGCACCCACCAGGAGTCTGAGGCAGGTCCCCAGCATTGCACTGCTCTCTGAGTGGCTAATGCTGAGCTTGAAATCTGATACTCCCAGACAGGCCGGGACCTTGCTGGCCTTCCTCTCTTCCTAGGAAGAAACTGAGAACTGAGGTGGGGAGCCAGGGCTAAATTCCCTCCTTTTTGCCCTGGGACTTTTAAAGGGTAGTGGTATGACATCAAACAGGAAAAACAACGCTGCCACATCCTCTGTGTTGTAATCACCCATTCGAAGAAAAAGCCCAGACTTCTTAGGCTTGCGGAAGGCACGTCGGTTCCAGGCACACACATACACGCACGCACACACCCCTCAGTTTCAAGCCAGTGCTCCCAAAAGTGAATAAAGCGTGGGCAAAAGTTATCTATGACCGTGGGTCATCCGTTGACCTGTCCCACTTCCATCAGGAAATGTGAAGGCAGCCAACAGCCTTTAAAAAAAAATAGCAACACATCAGTCACCCGCCTCCTCAGCCCTCCTCTCCCTTCATCATTCTCATTTTTGGTTAGCTCAGGCCTTTCACCTCCAAGTATGTGCCCAGAGCTACTCCTGGCTGCTGCATTAGGCAGGTGTCCTGATTGATACAGAGATATATGACACCACCAGACAAATGAGACCCTCCACGCACACCTCAGGAAGGGTGTGTGAGGTGCTCAGCAAGAGCTCAGCACCCGCCCCCCCCCCCCCCATTCCCATTTGCAAAGACTTCAAGACAAGAAGAAAGGAAACAAGGTCTTGAGGTCAGCAAAAATGGCAAGGTCTGGCTTCTCAGTTTCCCTCCTTTGGGTGATGCAAGGAACCAAACTGGCAATTATGGCTTTGCCGATAGGAAGGAGACTCATTCGGAGGATTGGAATGGCACCGCTGGCCGAGCTGAGGGGTCAGAGGGCAGGAAGCATCCAGGAGCTGCAGGACAGGGCATCTCCACAGCCAGGGTCTGCACACTGGGACCTTGTTGTGTCAGTGCAGAATCTGCTCTCTGCACACCCTCTGTGGAGGTGCATCTGATTGGGGGGCGGGGGGGGGGGTGTTAGGACTAACACATACAGTCCATTGGAGGGCAGGCTGCTGTAACAAACTGACCACAAGGGGGGTGCTGCTCACTCAGTGTCTCAGTTTACTGAGTCCCTACTGTGGATAGGTATACCACAAGCCATCAAAGTGGATGTAAGAGAGAGCAAGCTGGGAGCAGTCCAGCTGGGGAAGCAGGAAAACACAGGGAGCCATTGTGTAAAGCACTGGTTGAGGCGAGCGGAGATGCCGAGCCCACCTCTAGTTCTCTGAACTCCACTGCAACTCTGTAAGACACGCACACCAGGCTATTAGGATTTTTTATATATGGATTTATTATTAATTTCCTTATTTACCAAGACAGAGTCTCGGTACGTAGCGCTGGCTGGCCTCAAACTCACAAGAGATCTGCCTGCTTCTATCTTCTGATTGCTGGGATTAAAGACGTGTTCACCATAGCTGGCCTTCAATTTCTTTTTAAAAAATGTGTAAGTGGGTGTGTTGCCGTGTGGGGGTGTTCATGTGTGTGTGTGTACGTGCAGCAGCACCTCCAGAGGTGTTTCTTAGGAGCTGGCTACCTGATTGTTTTGAGTCAGGGTCTCTGACGGGGACCTAGTATTTGCCAACTACACTGAGCTGGGTGGCCAGCAAGGCCCCGGACGCTCCTGTTTCTCCTCCCCCAGCAGTGAGATTACAAGCCTGTAAGCGGGTCCTGGGCATCACGTGAAGGTCCTCATGCCTACGTGGTAAGTGCTTTGCCGACGGCGCTCTCCTCCCAGCTTCAGTATTTTAACGTTACACATGAAGAAACCAAGAGCTGACATGTGTCTTTCCGAAGTCACGAACAAGGTCTACCAATGGCCCAGATGCTTCTCCAGGAAGAACCATAGCCACAACTTATGCTCACCGAGAGACTGCCAGCCCACTTAATCTCCTGCTTGCTTTTCATTGTACTGGCTCCTTTAGTAACCCTGTAAGGAGGCAGCCATTGATTTTATATACATAAGGAAACCATGTATGGGAAGGGTCTAAGTAACGTGACCAAATACAGACGGCCAATGCACAAAAAGCAGTGATGAGCCGACTGGACTCTGGATCTCCTAAGCCCTTTGGACGATGCATAAACTCCCACAGCCCATAGAGCCAGAGTTATGTGACCTACCCTTGGTGAGAAAGAACAGGTTTGAAGAGATCACTTTTTCTCTAGTAAATCAAGCTTTCTCCCAGGATACGTCTTTAGGGAATATGTGCTTGTCGCTCCAAGGTTGGTAGAAGTTGCCTAACTTTTATGTCTGAGTCTTATTTAATAATGACCAGAAGGGAGAGTGGTAGCACACACCCGAGTTCCCAGTGTTTCGGAAATAGAGGCAGGAGGATCAGGAGTTGAAGGTCATTATCAGCTTTATAGAAGTTGGAGGCCAGCCTGGGCTACATGAGATCCTGTCTCAAAAGCCTAATAAATGCCTCCAGCTCCTGGCGCTATCAGACTTGGGCTGTTCTAGGAGTTGATTAGAGAAACTTCACTCTGCAGTGGGCAGTAGCTGGTGCAGAGACTCACAACTGGTCACCATGCTAAGAACAAGAGACTGGGTGCACAGCCCTAAACTGGACATCTATATGAACACCCACACCCACGAAGGCACAGAGAACATCACAGAAGAGAAGGTGGAGAGAACTCAAGAGGATGGGGAGGAGTGCTGTGAAATGCTGTCTTCTAGACCAGACACAGCTTTGGCACTCACAAACTCATAGCAACTGTGGTTGCCTGTCCAAGGTCAAACCAACCAAACCCCCAGCGTCGAAGGGATAGATTTCCAGGCCTCACCTCTTACTGAGGAGCTGTTGGCAGGAAACTGTTGCTAGTGGAAGGAGAGTCATTTTTTTTTGAGGGTGTGGTCACTGGTAGGTTTCCCACGTCCAGAGGACGGTCCTACATCCTTACACATAAGGGCAACCCTAACTGCACTTGGTGAGTTATCAAGGGAAGAGATACAATATTAAGTTGAGAGGTGTTAAGAGAGATAAGGGGAGCTTGAGGGGGATGATGGGGTAGATATGATCATAACTCATTACATACATGCATCAGATCATTAAAAGTAAAGAAAAATTTAAAAAGAAAACTTCAACAAAAATAATAGTAGTAGCCACAAAAACAGTTCATAATATAGTAGAACGCCTTAGCTGACTGAAGGAATAGATCTCCTTCAGAACAGAAATGCCAATTTCTCAGAAACATTTGCTGATTGGTAATCCCACGTTTCCTTTTCCAGTTAAGAGTGGTAAAGGTCTGGAAAGTTCCTGTGAGCCAGTTCGTGGCTACTGAGAGTCTTCTCTGAGAAAAGAGATGAGAGGAGGGAGTTTCAGGAATAAAGAACAGAACAAATATTCTTTAGGGCTTCCGATACCACTGAGAAAGGCTTTGCTCACGCCCAGACTCTGCAGGAGTGCCAAATTAGCGAGATGTGGGAGAAATGCTAAAGGCATCCACACAAGCAAGGCCATCAGAGGAATGATGCAGTGGTCCAGCTTGGGAGGAAGGGGAGAGCTGAATAAGCTTCGCAGGAGCGACAGAAAAGGCTGTCACCCACCATCGCTGACTGGGTTCCTGGAGAGACTATGGGAACAGAGCTCCTGATTTTTTCACTTGTCTTATGAGGAAGTGGTGTCCACAGACTTTCCTTCAAAGAGAGGCTCTGGACACTTAGCAGCGGGATCTGAAGGCAGGAGCCTTGTTTCTGCAGGGTGTGAGAGACACGATCCTCACTTGACAAGAGTTATGAAAGATGCAAGGCTCTCCAAATAGTTCTTTGCATTTTGTAGTGTGGAAATGTTGAGAACGCAGATGAAGTTTTGCCCATTGCAACAGGGTGGAGGCAACATTTCCAGCTCCTGGGTGCACTTCCAGCTGGAGGACCCTGTGTAATTCCCAGAAGAACTTCAAAACCCAAACATCCTAAAATTGATCTGGTTTTACCTCTGATGAACCAGAAGGGGTCAGGATGGGAAGATCCACCATCTGTGCTTCGTTCAAAAGAACTTGGGATATTCTGACACTCAAGTGTTTATTAACAAATGGGCTGTGAGCTGAGCCCTGGCATGCATTAGATTTAGCACAGAGAAACCAAGACTCCCTTTACAGGTCTGCTCCACATCCCACTGCCTTCCAGAATGCCTCACTTAACTGCAGCTTCAGATGCATCTGGCTGGTGTCAGTGTGCAGGCACACAGCCTTTCCCTGGAGCCTGGAGGGGTGGTCTCTAAGGCTCCAGAGGGTGAGCCTTGGGAGCGGCCCTTCAGGCATGTTGGGTTTGAGTCCTTGCATCTAGAGGGCACTACACCGTCAGAGTTGAGACTCTGAGAACTGGTGTGAGCTCCTGAGCTCAAAGTGAAGCACAGACACCAGATGTGAGCAGGAACCTCAGTGTTGTGTTTTTTAGGATGTACCAGATGTTGATTTCCAGCGGGTGCCTGGATGTGGCAGAAGGGCTGGTCCCATCTCTCTCCTGCCCTGGAGCCGTTGCTGGGGAGCTGTGTGGAGGCCTTTAGTGAAGTCCCTACCATTATAGTCACAGATCCAGGCTTCAAGTATGGGTGGAGACACTGAGGGTCTCCTCAAGTGTTCTCATCCATCACGCTTACTTGAAGTATTCTTAACACTAAACTTTTAAAAAAGGTTTATTTTATTTTACATGTGGTATAAATACCTGGGTGTATGAATATGTACCATGTACATGCAAGTGTCTGTGGAGGCCAAAAGAGGGTGTCATATCCCCTGGATTTCAAGTTACAGGCAGTTGTGGGCTGCCTGATGTGGACACTGGGAAGTGAACCTGGGTGCTTCGCCAGAGCAGCAAGTATTCTTAACTGCTGAGCCATCTCTCCAGCCTGACATGAGACATTCTTAAATGAGAATGAAAATTAGTAAACGAACAATTCACTCCTGCTGTTCTAGTCACATCAGCTCTAATGACACAGGTTTTTCAGTAGCAAACAGAAAA